GGTAAAAATCTAACCGACGTTTCGGAGGAGCTTAATGCCGCTATCATCAGGCGATGCCTGGCTTTTCTGGCAGACGCAAGGCCTCTACCCACAAGGATCTTCCACAACGACGAAGACACGCATTCATGCCTTGCTGTCAGCGAGACTTGAACTCATAATTATCACACACTGTTCGAGCGACCTCTACCCAAAGCTCCTGTAATCGGCAAATAATGAAAGAGGGACGAGAGAAGCGTTAAGAAAACTTTCCTTGCCAAATAACAAAGCTTTGTCCGTTCACTGTCCCTTCTTACGTTCATACGACCTGGCATCGAGATAACAACACAAGTTGTCAGTATACCGTAGGCTGATAAAGACCCCACGTGATATATAACGTGCGAAACCAAAGAGCGGACTAAATTGAGTTCAAAGCTCGCACGTTCTGGGGTTTTAAGAGAAATTTCGACAGACAAATGTTAACAGACCTAAAAATTAGAGTAAAAATAATCATGAAATACAGTGCGAAACCTTGGTGTTGAGAAAAGGGGCACTGGTTGTTTGAAAGCAGCACAAATGAAGTTTCTTCGATCTATATTGGCTATTGCAATACCAGATCACCATGCAATACAAACATCGGAATTTACCATTAGCGTAATCAATCCAAGGATGATGAGATATGCTTGTGATGTAGCATGTAGAAGACGAAGAAACGAGAAATGCACACAAAATCTGTTGGAAAACCTAAAGGAAACCCATAGCGGAGATTTAGGCGTAGACGAAAGGATAATATAAAAGTTAACCTTAAAAAAATGTATGAGAATGTTGAATGTATTACTCTGTCTCAGGATAGGGTAAGTGACGAGTTATATTCAACACGGCAATGAACCTTCGAATTACATAAAAGACGGTTCATTTATAGACCGGAAGAGTAACTATCAGCTTCTCAACGACTCTGCTCCATAGAATTACATTGGTCAGGTAGTCAGGCGAAACCGAAAGAGACAGACAGACAAGCCGTGTCGCCTTGTCTCAACTCCTAAGCAATATCAATTACGTGTTCATGTGTTCACCTTGCGGGGGAGAGGGTCCTGGTGGGAAAGTGTCTGTTGACGGTAATGAGCAATTCTTCTTCAGTCACAATACAGACATCACAGAGTCATCATGCATGTTGATTTGTAAAGTCAAAGAATTTCTGTATGCTTCAAGAAGTGAAAGGAATATTCTTCACGTGTTCGGGGCGGAGAAGTTGTAACAAAGACGAAATTGCGTGATTTTCGTTGCGAACGAACAAGAAAGTATGGTTTGTGACAAGATAGTAGCTGTTAAAGTGCTCGAGCTGGTAAGTAAGCTTATCACGTCGATTGATATGTTGAGACAGCGGATGTTTCCATAACGGAGTAACTGTAAGATGCCTCAGGCCATAAACCCGAAAACGATTCAATTTTAAAGTAATTCACATTGTGAGTCAAAGAACAATTTTATAAAATTAACACATAATGGGTAGGTCGTGTCGGAATGTTGCATTTCCAAAAAAACTGCTAAATGGATTTCGATTAAAATTGATAGTGGGAAGTCTAGATCGATCTTTTTCTTACGTAGACTCAAATACACTTCAAATGAAGTCGAAATTAAACTTTACATTAATTTTTCAGAAAACTATACAAAGAAGAGGTTCATAATACGTTATCTTCAAAACACAGTGTTAGGGCGACCAAATCAAGGACAATATATGAGCGAGACATGTAGCACGCATCGATAAAGCGATAAATTCATTATTATTACCTGCGCCAGATGATACAGGCTAGGAGTGAAAATGGAACAGCGGTGGGATGATACTGACAGGGGAAAACAGAAGAACTCGGAGAAAAACCTGTCCCAGCGCCATTTTGTCAACAAAAAACCAAATGGAAGCCGGTGACTAACCGCCTGAGCTATGATAAATGCCCGCATTTTACCCGAAAAAATGAACGGAGGTGTCCACTTGACAGAGCTAGACGTACATGGTAAATATTATAGATCTTCAATAAAGAGGGTTTGAGAATGTGGATTGGATTGAAGTGGTTCAGGGTAGCGATCGGTGGCGGGTTGCTGTGAACACGGTACTGTACTGAATCTCTGGATTCCATGAAATTTGAGGGAGAATTTCTTGACTAGGTGAGCGTACTATCAAATTCAAGGGCTCGGCTTCATGGAGCTAGACACTTTCTCATTTTATAAACTTTTCTGTAAAGAAAGCGTAAAAGAACTGTAAAGAGAGGTTTCCAAGTCCGATTTCAGGTTCCTACGGTGGCCACTATGAAGACGACCGTCTTCTGGGTTGTAGCGCCGTGCAATCTGGCGTTCGCCCTGATGATGGAGGCAGCAAGAACCTCTAAAACGTCGGTGAACTTCTGCCAGACTATACGGTGCTACAACCCAGCAGACAGCCAACTTCATAGTGGCCACCGTAGGCATCTGAAATCCGACTTGGAAACCTCTCTTTACAGTCACAGTTTAATACATCATCCGACGAAAGGAGTTCGTGGCGCATTGACAATTCTTTGTAGATTGTGAAATAGCGAAACGAACTGTCCTCTGACTCAATTGCGATGATTCACAGGAAGTACTAACTACAGTACTGTAACATGTCTTCCCTTCATTATTGTTGAATTGTTTTGATGGAAAATTCAACTTGCTTCTTGTTAGGAAGCTTAACAGTGAGAATTTCATTAGATTCATATCTGCCGTACAAATCACTTGTTTACACACATTTGCACTTCAGTTTTCAGTACCGTGAAATACCTGTCTTGTTGTTTCGGCTACTACTTAGCCATCATCAGGTCTGTACTTAAGTTACTGCGAAAATGAGAAGAAAATATTGAGATGGGTTTTTATACCGGATGTGGCCTGGATTCATCTGGTTCAGGTAGGGAAGAGTGGTTGTCTTTTGTGAACTCGATAATGCACATGCCAGTTTTTTGAAGTATCTAAAACCACTCGTTTCGAAAGTAAAAAGACATGTATTGGCACTATCGTACACATTTAACGGCGGAAGTCACATTTAGCACCATGTTCCTGCCTGTTCAAATGCGCATTTAGAAATCTCACCGCCTACTGATAAGCGGACACCATAAACTTTATCAGGTGACGTGACGTGTATAGTGACTAAAACGGTCGACTATTCGTAGCCATGTGTACCTTCTCTTCGGTCTGTGAACCCAAACTTATGCCTCACACGTTTTTATTTTGATATAAAATTGGGCAAACTGAACAAATGTTTACGTATGGTGCAGTGGAGGTACAGCTCCACGAATTCTTGACCTCAGGTGAGTAGTCACCTTCATGCCCTGGCCGTTTTACTCACTGGAAAAGAGGACTGGATACTCCATAGCCCAGTCACTATACTGACTGTCGTATTGGTACTCCTGTTATTTAATATATTTGTACATTTTTAAATTTACATGGCTGAACACTGAATTTTTGTTTCAAACAAAAATTGTTGACAGTAACAGAATAAATATTTTATATCCATAATTTATTTATCTCAAGTAACATCTAGTAATTTCTCTGCTTTCCTTATTTTGTCATGAAAGCTATGCAGTGAATCTTCATGTCCCATTAAAGGTGGGATATTTCTTTGTCTGCCTGACTGACCTACTACCATATTCTTAAAAATGATTTCCCTCCGTGGAGTAAAAACTTCAGTCTAAGTTGTATAATAAATTATTTACGTATTATTCCAACCACGTCTATCTCGGCCTGCAGATGGAAACATTAAATACAAGGCATGCATCATAGTTTACGTAACTTTTGTGCGCTGAAATTGTGACAAAGGAATATTTTCTCATGTCTGATACTCATTCTTAATTTGTGTTTCACGAATCTGTGGGAATACACTGATGTGAACTATATTGGTACTACAAAGACTTCTTTGCCATTACAATGGAAACATGTTCATTCTTAGGTGTAATAATTAACGTTAACCAAGAAGCCGAGGCATACCTGCATTCAAGGTCTGGCCACTCATCCATTCCGACCTCCTGCCATGTTATATGGCGGAAAAGCACGTAAAGGTGAAACAATGCCTGTGTCAAGGCATTCTGGGCATTAGCTTCACTCCTTCCTTCCTGCACACACTGGGCAGCAAAACACAGATACAATTTAAAATCATTTTAAGAATATTTCTTTGAATATAACTGGAAGTTTAAAGTGCATGAAAAAAATTATGAAATGTCAGTTCTCTTAATTATAAGCAGCACACAGACACGTTACAAAAAAAATGTGTTCAGGTTCAAATGTTGGCTCACAGACCAACTGTCCTCCACACAAATGCTGGAATATTACTTTAAAGTAGACCACGACCACTTCCTTCTGTAGCCTATTCAGTTCACTAACCACCCCATCATTTGATGCAACATAATCCCAGTAATTAAGCACCATAAAATAAATAAGTATAGTTATCCATCACCATAGCGTGTTTTGTGTGTGTGTGTGGGGGGGGGGCATGTAGGTCAAGTTCATGCAATCTAGAGTTCGGAGTTGGATGGCGGTTGGTCAGCATCGAGCTCAGGTCACTTTACCACAAAGTAAACAGCCCTAACACTCATCGTTATTAGGAGGCTGGGTGGGCCCTGGAGCTGATGGTGGTAAAAACAAAAGCCTCTGCCCCTACCACAAAACAAATCTTGGTCTTGCAGCCCACATCCAGTAATCTTACCAGTTCTGCGTGTAATTGCCACAAAATATTGTGGCATCATCTGTTGGCTAACTTGAGAGATGAGATCGAATTTTATTACTAATTCGACCATTTCTGAAAAGACTCGGATGAACACTCTCTCATACAGCTGCTGTGCTGCACGTGCGTTATCTACAAGAGAGTGACTGATGACGAGGCCTTCCGCACCTTCTACCTTTTGAAGAAGTTGTCTCGAGAGTGGCCTTTGCTCAACAATGTCACGTGGGAACAGAACGGAGACTTCTTCACAGACATTGTATTCGGCAGTTACATCATCATCACATTGGGTCTTCTTATTGGGTACCTCTGTGGTGAGCTTAGAAATGGCAGGAAAATGGTGAGTTACCGAGATACTTCCATTTCCCCTTTGCCTTCTTCATGGTGTTGTGCTTAAGCAAGGGGAAGATTTTAATCTGTTTCATGTGGCCATCCCATGAATGTGATCAAGGCCATTACAAATGTTTGTCTTTATGAACATGTATCTCATACCCAGTGTGAACCAAGGGCTTGTCGTCATGTTAACGAACAGCTGGAGTAGAAACATTACGTCTAAAAACTATCTCTCTGTAAAGGAATGCATGAAACTTTACTGCCAAATCTCCATACTTCTTTATGATCAAGAGCCCAAGTGCAAGAGTAAGTTATTCTTCAGCATTAATTATTTACAATCATGGTAAACAAATTAACTGTAAGTCAGTTGTTTCTGGTTTGCAGGAAAAATTCTTCCTTGGAATGGGAGCTCTGCTTTTCATCATTGTTGGCAGCTTGGTATATGCGTCACTGGATTCAGTGCCTCCAGACCTGGTGGACAACGCTGCTGTTCTAGGCACACTGGCGCTATTCACAGGACTCCTCTTCCTCCTCGACATTGGTCTCAGCAGACCTAAACCTCCACCAATCAAACAGCTGTACAAGGCAACTCAAACAGATATTGCCTCCAATTCTGTTGATCTCCTAGATAAAGTACATCGAGTTCCTAATGGAAACAAAGTTATTGGAGAACTCCGGTCATCGCTCAAGACTCGAAGAAGAGCAGATGATGATGATTCCAGGTACGCATTAAATTATTTTGTAAAATTTTAAAGATAATTAGCCATTGGAGACATCAAGGCATGAGTGGCAGAACAATACTGAAATATCTTAAAAGAGGTCAGGCAGGAGTCATGGTGTGGAGTGTGTTGAACTGGTTCGGAACATGGTACGCATTCGTGGTGATGGTGGAGAACCTTCGGTTCCATAATACTCCGGAATTATTTGTGAATTAAAAGTAATAGGTCATCCAAAATTTTGCAGAACATCTCAGTAATTCAAATATAAACCACCATGATATGACTTTATCATAAATATGTTAAAATTTGTTGTAATCAGTAATCACCATTTTACAATATGGCAGCAAACTCAAATAAACGACATTACTTATAAACACATCTCCATTTACCAGGTACCCTCCCCATAGAGACTCAACCCCAGACTTGATGATGCAAGGACACAGTTTGAGATCCAGAGGAATAACTGAAGAACAAATGACACCTGAAGGTTATCGTCGTAACGGGCATTTCTCACCAGATCAAAGGTTGGATCATGGTAGGCAGTTACATGACAGTTCTGTAAGACAAGATCTGCGATTTCCTTCAGACCTTCAGTTAAGACACCAACCAGAAAGTCATCGTTCAGTTGACCGTATATCTTCAGACAAGGATCAAGAGCGACGTGATATTCCAACTAGAGACCAAAGACCATCTGATAGTCGTCATGGCCTAGATCACCGCACGTCTGAACAAGAAAATAGCAACTCCTCTTCAGGCGAGCAAAGATACTTGGAACAAGGCGAAATCAGTCAAAGGCCTGAGAGTATTACACCAGAACAGAAACACAGAACAAGACCCAGAGAAATGTATCGTGAGAGTGACAGTGATCTGGATGACCCCACACACATTCCAACTGTCTCCTTTCTCCTGACAGAAAGAGGTGAACCTGTTGAAGTGAGGCCTGGAGGTTCAAAACGCAGTCTCCGAATTAAACCACAACAAACAGGGAAAGGAAGTATTAAGGATACAAAACTTCTGCCCATGATGCCAGTAGCTTCCACATCAGAGGACATTATGGGCATGCAAAGGAAGAGAAGCATCATTTTAGCAGAGGATGAACCAAAACAGAAACACTTTGGACATGAAGAAACACGAAGTCCAGCAGCTGTTCCTGATGAGAGGGAAAAGGAAAAGTCTGCATTTGGAACTGTGACAGCTGGGAAAACCAAAGCATCAAGCAGCAGAAGTTTAGATATAGAAGCTGTAAGATTCGAAGATGTTTCACAGTCACCTTCACCTGACATTGGACATTGGCGTTATGACAGCCGTGATGCAAATATTGTTCGTCCAGAAAGAGAACTACCATCATCACCTTCAGATCCTGGTTTTGTAAGGTACACTGCTCACAACTGGCCTGACTCATCACCAAGAACTCCATCACATTCACCTGCTGATTCTGTAACACCTGGAGGATCCAGAGTACAAAACTGGCCTGATTCACAGCCAAGAACTCCATCTCAGTCCCCACAGACCTGGTCTGGATCAGCAGTATCATTTCATCAAGGACCTGAATCACATTCCAGAACTCCATCTCAGTCAGCACAAGAACTGTCAGAGTCCGTGTCCCGATCACCATTAAGTCACCAGGCTCATTGGCCACAGTCTCGCCCATCATCTGATGAAGGCGATTATGCAGCTGCTTTACCACCACCTCCACCATCAGAGCCACCTGCATCACATCACCAGCAAGTATCCAGTACTCGGCGATCTCGGAGTGCAAACCAGCGGCACGACGAGGAAGAGGAGGACAACATTGATGAAGATATTCCATCGGGAGGATCACTGACAACACAGCTGCTTCAGAAATGGCTCAAACAAAGAAAATCAAAAGCTGGGAAAACAAAATCAAATCCTTGAACGAGTAGTTCATTGCAAATCAAGTGAGAGAGATATGATTTATCACAACAAACAGTGCAAAATCAGAAAGAAATAGGAATGAAAGCCAGGAATGTTTCTGCTTGACATCCTGTTTCAATTAAAATGTTTTGTAGTTAATGATCAGGTGCTAGTAATTTTCATAGTCTCAGGTCATGTTTCCTTCTAAAGAAGAATGACAGAGCCTATAGACTGAATAATAGTAATAATTATGTCTGCTTTCATAATTTTATATATAACCCATCATAAATTTCAAAGTACTAAAACTATTATTTCAAAAGTAAATAAAGAATTTGCACTATTGCTGAAACAGTATTAGCCCTACAGAAGGCCAATGAGTCTGATTTGATCATTACATTGTCCCCAGTCAAACTGTAGCTTTTTTTAAAAAATATGTTTTGTATTTTTTTACACATACTCTACCAAGGATTTAGCAACAGCTGTTTGATATACAAAAGGGTAAAAGTTAAATGCATGTCCTAATCTTTAATTACTGTAAATAATAATGATGATGATGCAAAATGTGGCAAAAAATAGCACATTACTGAAAGAATGAGGGGTGAGGGGGCAGAGTGGAGGAAAGCCTGTTTTAACATGCTTTGTAACAGTTCTATGATCTTATGAAATACAGAAAATTAAGCCAATAATGTTGTACACAACTGTCTTCAGTGTGACTCTCTGGTACAAGAAATAACAAAAGGAACAACATCATTAAACTTACAGTAGCTTGTTTCATAATCTTTATGTTTTCAAGCATATAAATGTTTTCATTACTTCAGCCTTGAATAAATTAGATGCAAAGAATGTGAAACTTGTCTTTAAACAGACTGGCTTTTAAAATCTATCTCATTGTCATAATAATTAGTACATTTTGTTATGCACAAAAGTTTTGAAACTTACTGAATTATGTCTTTGTTTCCTCAGACTTTTTCCATCCTCAAAATCCACTACTAACACAATAACACATGGGTCGATGGTAGAACACTCATATGATTTCTGATCATTCCAGTCATGTTGTCAGTCACATTAATTTTTCGGAATAGACCGGCAATTAAAACCGATCCATATTGTTTTGACAGCAGATATTTTAAAGTGTTTTCTTATCACCATAGGTGAAAAATATAAAACATGAAGGCCAAATGAATAATGACATGCCATATTTACTTCTTGGTTTTCTGATGATATTTTGTAAAAGTGTTGTAATTAGGAATGTAACATTTTATATTCATGAATATAAATTTTATGTAAATCGTTTTTTTAGGTTAAAATTATGTGAACAGTCTTGCAGCTTATCCTTATTAACCTTTAGACATTATGAACAATTTGTTAGGTTAAGCTCAGCATATGAATGGATTGATGATTTATTCATTTTGTGTCAACTATGTAGGAGATTTCTATCACTACCAACCCTCTTCTTCTACAACAAATTTCTGATTTTAATTTATAACACCAGAAACAAAAATGAAGAAAATATCCAGTGATTACTTCAGGTCCAAACAGTTTTTACAACTAGTGATCTTTTAGAATAATGAAATTAGCTGTGAGAAACTAATAGCAAAACATTATGAACTATGAGAAGTGTAATCATGCAAATATATTTATACTCAGTTTAACCACAGACTGTATTACTATCATGCAAAGTAATTCTTTGTAAATAATTTAATATTTATATTAATAGAATTACATTTACATTTAATAATAAAAGATATTGACACAGGAATATGGTTTGAAAAAAAAATTAATCTAACCTTTAAATCCTGTCTGCCACATGATTTTAACAGCTCACTAACACCAAATGAAATTAGCCTCAAGATTAAGGTTTATGAGAGAGATTTATTAATCTGTGACTTTTTATCAGTGATTTTAATTTCACAGGGATTTATTTATAGGGTTGTTATATGGTATGGATGAAAGCGCTCATGGCTTGTCAGGAGTGACTGAAGTAAACCACAACAAACTTTAGGACAGCTGGTCTTCAGATCCAGATTTGTATGAGAGATTTCACTAAGTCTTTTATACAATGAAGGAAACAGAGAAAGTCTTGGATGCTTGAGATTATCATAATTTCATTTAATCACAGTTTACCTTAATTCATGTTCTTACTGAGTATAACTACCAACCTCTGGAAAATGTTTCACATTTAATTTTTGGAAAAGGGTAATTTCATAAACAACAGGAAATACTTTGCACAAATGAGGTCTCCTAGTTGTGGGAAATTTCAGCTTTCACTCTTAACTTATTTTGTTTGACCCACTTGCTGCTATCAGCTGAACAGTTAGACTCTATCCATTAGTTAAGTACTTTGTTGAAGCATGCAGATTGTGTATGTAACACAAATAACAAAACATAGAAATTAAGATAGAAACATCTGTGGCAAAAGGCAAGATAACAAACTCATAAAAAATAACTGTACTTTACAGTAAGATATTTCTTACTGTGTTCAGTCAGGAAAAGATGGGAAAGAAATAAAAAGAAAGTTAATATGTGCTGTGCCATTAAGAATATAAAACAAGCTTAATATTGAGGACACAGGCAGTAACTTAAGGTACTTCTTGCACAACTAATGAGGCAAGTAACAGACACACTCAATTTATAATCAAAACAACACTGCATTAAAGTAAAGAAAAAGAATTTTATTACATGCTACCAACATTTGCTAAATAAGTCATACCATAATGGGAATTAAATTGATGAAAGACTCTCGGGTAACAAGCCGCGTCAGGTGGCTGAATGGTGAACGAACCATTTATTCCACCAACGTTTCGACAGCCATCTCTGCTCTCATCCTCAGGGCAGCTGCAAAACTAAACTGGTCCTATGTAGAGTGCTTGCCGATGGGAACTGGGGGCAGACTGCAGGTAGTAGCACTAGTACTTTATACATTGGAAATAAACTGTTCTAACAAATAAGGTCTTGAAAGGAAAAGCTTTTTGTCCTAAAAATAAGTATAGAATTTTATTTTTAATTCTTGTACATAACTGCAGATTTCATTGCATCACATAAAAAACAGCTAAGAAATTATGTGTATAAAAATTAACAGATTACTTCGAATGTTGCTCTGAAAGCAGTAACTCCGAGAAGAGAAGAGAAAATGTGAAACAGGATGGCTGTAGGATACAGGACAAAAAGTGTTAGTTATTCTGATAGGGAGACAATAATGAAGACAGTGACTGGAATGTCAGAAGAAAACTTTGGTTTGTTTATGAAAAGGGTATAAAATGGAAAACATCTGTTAAGTACTTATAGAAGTAGGAAGTCCCATTTAGAACTGGCAAAAATACTGTATAGGCAAATAAACATAGTACAGGGATGTTATGTTTATCTACAACATACATGCTGTTCAAATATTGTATTTTTAATATAAACAGATATATTCTGGATCAACATAAAAAGATGTCTTCTTACATGTGTAAACAAAAATAATTACTGCATTAAGATATGAATATTGCATAAGTTATGCAAACAACTGCCTAATCGTTGTCTAAGTGTGATTACCATCCTGTAATCTATTTGTAAGCTACCTGTACAAACCAGTACATAAATACTGGCACTACATCAAGAGTTTACATACAATGAAACCTCCACTGTATTCATCTTTTTCCCCCACGAGAAACATTTCATAATAATCCAACTTACTTCATAGTACTAAAACTAAACTGGTTAGTAACCTAATATATTATTTACACACATTTAACAATAATTATTAATACATTTCAATGCAATACTTACGTACTTATTCTGATATCTCGTTACTATAGAATATAACTTTTGAGCATTTGAAAAATATCAAGGCCTCTCCACTGTCAAGGCCAAGTCCATCAATTAATACAAGTTTTGCCACCTCTCACTCACACACTCAAAGTTAAACACAGGATGCATGGTCCACAGAACAAACAGAATCAATACAGGATTTCTGACTGGTTGCTCAGAATAACCATGAGGTCTTTGACTTGTATCTTCTGTAAGCACATCATTTCAAATCAAATAGAACACCAATTTTGTTACATAGTACACATGATTAATTCTGATTGGAAAATATCATGAGAAGAGGCCACATGAGAGACCTAGGTTAAGATGGTAGAATAATATAAAATGGATCTTAAGGAAACAGGTTGTGAAGTGGACTGAACCAGATCAGGACTGGGCATTTTCCTTCTTTTGATGACAGTGGTAACAGGCTACTTCTTCATCAGTCGAACATCTATCAACTCCTGAACAAAGCCTGTCTCATGACATTCTTACATTATGTTAGAAAGTTTAACTTTAAACTTTAAATTACTTTTGTCTGTTTTGGTTCTTCAAAAAATTATTGGATTTATTATGCAACAATATTCAAAATGGCAGAAATATTAGAAATTAGTCTACAATTTTAATTGTGGCACAACACTGTGTTTTAGATTCACAAAGAAGTAATAGGTCTGATCGTGGTATTTACTCTATACCAAAATATGTAACTATACTTAATATATAAATGTTACTGTTTGCTGGAAAAAAATACACTATATTTTCTTAAAACTCTTCTAGAAAGCAATTAATACTAACATAAAATGTTTCAAGGATTGAATGTTATTAATATACCACATTAAGAGATGTCAGGAGCGATGAATTTGAAATTCTCCATTCAGAATTCTTCACGGTTCCATTATGTCATCAAACATGTCCTATTTGATTCAACACAGAGGACTTAATGTTTCACCTGAATTAACAAAAAAGAAAACCCTGTTAAAATTAAATTACTCTGCCAAATCACCACAATTTATAGAGTTCATTACATTGTTAATAATTAATTAACCCGAATCTGGAATAAACTGACTGCGTACAAATCAGTTTTGCTATGGACCATGAATTATTGGCCATTTTAGACTTAGTATAAAAATTATTAGTGTAAAATTTAAAAATGACTAATTATGTTTCTATTTAAACATCATTAACACCTATTTTTTAGGTTATAAAAATAAAGGTTAAAGACTTTTTGGTTGGTACAGATTTCTTATTATATGATACTATCTGAAAGTAACATTAAGTAGTGAACATAGCCTTTCCTCACTCTGCAGTGTTACCAAGAGTGAAGAAAACAGCAAGACAGCTCCATCCTTCAGGAAGAGAAAATGTGAATACCCAGAGATCCACTACTTCTCATTTATGTGCAACAAATCAGTCAGAAACCTAACAGACTTTCCCATTACATTCTTTCCAACCTTGATTATTCTAATAAAATGCTTTTCATTGCCTCTGAAATCTCATATAAGTTGAAGGAAATAAAACGGAGGCAAAAAATGTTTGCTTCTGAAATTCCTGAACTTGTACATAACTGCATAAGGACTCACAGAGAAATGAAAACAATGTTTCATAAACAAAATATCTTCATTTAAAGAACACTGAGTGACAAAAAAATCATTGTTATTTCTAAGGTTGCAAGTCTCTAAACATTAATTTTCGTGTGATCTAATACCTTACCTCAGCTTGTTGTATTACTTTACTGTATTTTCCTTTCATTTGTAGGCACTGAAATGTTGTTCTAGAGATACAAAAGCCACTGGAGTACTATATGAAAGACACAGCAATTATTCACTGTAGTGTACATTGAGTCACGCAGCTGACCTGTGCTGCAGGCGCTGTTCCATCGTGATGTACTGCCTGATCAGGCGTGAAATCTCATGAGCCTGGTCTGTCTGTAGCCTCGTGATACGCTGTTGCATGAGGTTACCACACTTCATGTCCAGGAAGAGTGTTCCATCTTCCGATTTTACTTTTCGGGTCGAGATCACCTCTGAGAACGGATAATGAGTCAGCGTCTCCTGGAAACGCAACAGGAATGTATGAAAACGTGCGAGCTTCTCATATATAACAAAATTAATATTGACAACATAAATGGCATGTCATATAACATCTTGATGTGCACACTGCTGTCTGGATATTCTAGATGTTCATTATTCTGACAGTGAGTTCTTAGATGCACTGTCAAGATTAACATAAAGAATTCTGTACTCAAAACACATTTAAACTTACTGTACCATTAAATAACAGAAATTACAACTAATACTTACATGGGTGACGAGATCTATGAAATGTACACCATGCCTGTTCAGTGCCAGGATGTGGTCTGAACGTTCCTTTGGGTCAGAGACTCGTTTCACAGCAAAGAAACTTGATCCAAAGAGTGGCCACTTTGACAAAATATCTACAAAAGAACACAACTATATTATGGCGACACAGCAATGTGGGTCTTCTTCTAGCATAATTTCTGTTCTATATAGGTTTATGAAGCAATATGATTTTTACAAATAAACACAAATGGGGACTTGGCACATACATGTAGTTCACATGGTATGTGCATGACAATTTCAGCAGTTTTCAGGCTAAATCTTTAAGCCCTTATATTGTTAAGTGCTCATCCTACCAACCAAGTTATGAAACAATGTACAAAGCATGCTGTATATACATGATGCCTATTAACTGGCAATAAAAATGTTGCGAGCATTCGCTCGCAACTACCACATTATATAATGTGTACTGAGACACATAATTTTAGACTGTATTATTATGAGACTGACCTAGAACTTGAGCTTTGGACTGTATTGTGGTGAGCATCTCGACATCCCTCCAATTGCTCTGAACCATATTCACCCACTGTGCTGGCTTCACGTCCCGCACCGTCAATGCAGGCTTTGGCAGCAGAAACTTAGTCTCTTTCATTGTTGGCACGTGAGTCATATCTGCTGCTCGATGCAACAAGGCTGCCATCTTTGCAATGTCGTACTAGGAAATAACATTAATAACCATAAAAAATAAATTTAAGCAATAATCAAAAAACAATATTACATTATTCTTATTGTAAGAAGAAATACGTACTAAAGATACATACATCTTAAAGAAATTGGGTGGGTGTAGAATGGATTCATCTGGCTCAGGACACAGATCAGTACTGGATAAATACAAATCATAAGATAAACCTGTTTACAAATGGCAGAAACTTACAATCACATCCTGGTCAAGCTGTTCCCCTGGCATGATGAGTAACAAACCTTCCAGGTAGTCTGGTGCAATCTGGTTGAACACAACCTCCACATACAACTGGGAGTCAAGTCGCAGAGGGAAGTGCCATACAGAGCGACAGAATATCAGGTAGAACACCTGAAGGCAGATAAAACATAATATTCAAGGCCATACATTTCTACATTTTTTTTCAAGTTCATTATTCATTAATAATTCATTAATCTGATGATCTATGATAACATTTATCAGGTTTCAAACTCCAAAATTTTCAGTAGAAAATTCAACCAATATTTGGAAATAAAATAGGAGTATGTTACTGAGGTACAGATACATAATTACCTGCTGGTTTTTATGCAGTTCTGTGGTGACATCCAGGATGTATTCTTCACGAGCTAATGGCATGGTGAATGTGTCACCCTCCACTATACAGTACAATGAAAATTCTTCCAACTCCATCTCTCCTCCTACCACACCAATTACAGAGCACAGCTCCTCAATTACATCCTGCAAAAATCAAAGAACCAGTCTCAAAACCACTTCGCTGCACTTATTTACACACATTTAAGGAAAATATCTGGAGGAAGTAACAGAAGGCTTATGGAAGCTACATAATAAGGAGCTTCATAATTTGTATTCTTCACCAAATATTGTTAAAATGATAAAATGAAGAAGACAAAGTAGCTGGGTCAGACATGTGGTATGCGCAAGATTAGAAATGTGTACAGAGTTTTGGTCAAAAAACCTGAAGGGAACAGACCACTTGGAAGATCCAGGAACATAAGGAAAATATAATATTAAAATGGATCTCAAATAAATAAGTGCAGTGATGGGCTCTTGTAAACACATTGATGAATCTTAGGTTCCATAGAAGTTGAGGAATTTCTTGACCAGCTGAATAGCTATTAGCTTCTCAAGAAGGAAGCTGCTGCATTGTGTTGGTTAGTTGTACACACGATCATAAATCACTATCTAATATTTTTGGCGTGACACTAAATCTACTTGACAAGTCAGTGGAAATTGTTACGATGTTTCCTTTCCAGTCTAACAGTAACGATAAGAACAAACATTTTCCTTTGGTAACTGCTCCAAAAAGTTAATAAAAAATACTTTGTGAAGTCCAAATAGACAGCCACCCTTACAAACCACTTTTAAATCCATAGCAACAGTGCAAGACATACAGTCATACAGAGAAAGAGAAGCATGATGGTACCTGAACAACAGTGGTGGATTTTGTGTTCACGACCCTCTCTGTTCCACCAGGTAACCTATAGATTTGGCGCTTGGAGTTACGACCGGCACTAATGGCTGTAATCTCTTCTACACTGGGCACATTCTTCCTTCCTCCATATTTGAATGTTTTTCGAAGATTCTGGAGACATACTGTCGCAGTACCTGTAAAACCAAATGCTTATATGATCACTATGTGACCTTTGCACAAAGTGATCATATACAGGACATCATGTCCACCCATCCATTCATCAGTATGTTTCACCTCTTAAAATACTGAACTAATTTTGATGAAATATAATATTTGGAGGTTTACACCATGTCAGGCAAATTTAATCTTGTGCAGTGCTTCATTAAGCACCAGGGTCTTCATATTTGTTTAATGATTTTACTAAACATGAAATCAAACATTTTAATTTTCTCACAAACTGCTCATTGTAAAATAACTTGGTAAACAACACACTATTTACAACTCATTAAGATCTATATTTTCTATCTGAAACTTCTTTGATGTAATGAATATTTAACCTTTATTAACTATGTTTCAAAGTTTACACATAATCCAGCTAGCCTTACCACTTAACTGTTAAATCTTGAAGTTGAGGCCTGGCCACCAGCCTTATACCCAAATGATAAAGTAAAGTAAAGTAAAGCATCCTGCTACATGCCTATGCAGGCACTTGGGGGGGAGCAGAGGTATAGCTCCTACTCTTTCTTGACCTTGGCACCAGATGGGGGTGAGTGGTCAGCATCATGCCCCGGCCATGCTTTACCCCCGGGAAAGGACCCCGGTACCCATTGGACAGGAGGCTGGGTGGGCCCCAGAGCCGGTCTGGACAAAGAGGCTAGAGGAAAAATCCTCTGCCCCCGTTGGGGATAGAACCCCGATCGCCCATCCCGCAGCTAGTCACTATACTGACTGAGCTATCCCAGTTCATACCCAAATGATATACAAAGGAAAATAATTTCTGACTCACTGCAGCAAGATTAGCTGTGTAACAATAAATCTGTACCAACACATTTAAGGAAAATATCTGGAGGAAGTAACAGAAGGCTTATGGAAGCTACATAATAAGGAGCTTCATAATTTGTATTCTTCACCAAATATTGTTAAAATGATAAAATGAAGAAGACAAAGTAGCTGGGTCAGACATGTGGTATGCGCAAGATTAGAAATGTGTACAGAGTTTTGGTCAAAAAACCTGAAGGGAACAGACCACTTGGAAGATCCAGGAACATAAGGAAAATATAATATTAAAATGGATCTCAAATAAATAAGTGCAGTGATGGGCTCTTGTAAACACATTGATGAATCTTAGGTTCCATAGAAGTTGAGGAATTTCTTGACCAGCTGAATAGCTATTAGCTTCTCAAGAAGGAAGCTGCTGCATTGTGTTGGTTAGTTGTACACACGATCATAAATCACTATCTAATATTTTTGGCGTGACACTAAATCTACTTGACAAGTCAGTGGAAATTGTTACGATGTTTCCTTTCCAGTCTAACAGTAACGATAAGAACAAACATTTTCCTTTGGTAACTGCTCCAAAAAGTTAATAAAAAATACTTTGTGAAGTCCAAATAGACAGCCACCCTTACAAACCACTTTTAAATCCATAGCAACAGTGCAAGACATACAGTCATACAGAGAAAGAGAAGCATGATGGTACCTGAACAACAGTGGTGGATTTTGTGTTCACGACCCTCTCTGTTCCACCAGGTAACCTATAGATTTGGCGCTTGGAGTTACGACCGGCACTAATGGCTGTAATCTCTTCTACACTGGGCACATTCTTCCTTCCTCCATATTTGAATGTTTTTCGAAGATTCTGGAGACATACTGTCGCAGTACCTGTAAAACCAAATGCTTATATGATCACTATGTGACCTTTGCACAAAGTGATCATATACAGGACATCATGTCCACCCATCCATTCATCAGTATGTTTCACCTCTTAAAATACTGAACTAATTTTGATGAAATATAATATTTGGAGGTTTACACCATGTCAGGCAAATTTAATCTTGTGCAGTGCTTCATTAAGCACCAGGGTCTTCATATTTGTTTAATGATTTTACTAAACATGAAATCAAACATTTTAATTTTCTCACAAACTGCTCATTGTAAAATAACTTGGTAAACAACACACTATTTACAACTCATTAAGATCTATATTTTCTATCTGAAACTTCTTTGATGTAATGAATATTTAACCTTTATTAACTATGTTTCAAAGTTTACACATAATCCAGCTAGCCTTACCACTTAACTGTTAAATCTTGAAGTTGAGGCCTGGCCACCAGCCTTATACCCAAATGATAAAGTAAAGTAAAGTAAAGCATCCTGCTACATGCCTATGCAGGCACTTGGGGGGGAGCAGAGGTATAGCTCCTACTCTTTCTTGACCTTGGCACCAGATGGGGGTGAGTGGTCAGCATCATGCCCCGGCCATGCTTTACCCCCGGGAAAGGACCCCGGTACCCATTGGACAGGAGGCTGGGTGGGCCCCAGAGCCGGTCTGGACAAAGAGGCTAGAGGAAAAATCCTCTGCCCCCGTTGGGGATAGAACCCCGATCGCCCATCCCGCAGCTAGTCACTATACTGACTGAGCTATCCCAGTTCATACCCAAATGATATACAAAGGAAAATAATTTCTGACTCACTGCAGCAAGATTAGCTGTGTAACAATAAATCTGTACCAACAATAAATGAACATCAAGGTCAGTGAGGTATGCAAAATTATAAAGAACATATATGAAAATATGTGTTCTTAACTGTTTTGTCTTCCACTATTCAAAACAAGCCACTGACACATGTAATGGTATTCAAAGTATGATAAATTAGAATTTTTTCAGATTTTACAATATGCACTGGCACTATTCAGGCATGTATATTTGCAATTTTATTGGCCAACAGCAATTTAATTACACAAACCACTGTGTTAGGCTTTATATCTAGCATTCATTTTTAAATGAATTATAATATAAAAATTCTCATATGAAATAAAGTTAAAATAAATATCTGTAGATACAAATGAAATGGGATAAATTCATCAAAAGGAAACCAAATCATCCCAGTTCAGTAAATTCTTACCATGAAATGCCCGTCGCTTATCATAAGCTGCTGTCTCCAAGTATTTGAACAGGTATGGTTTGAGTGTGTCAGAACAGACAAAATATGCAGCAACAATACTGAACAAACGCCATCCTCGCTGACATGAATCTGGTTTCATGGATTTGTTGTTAGTTGTCTGTTTCATCAGTTGACAATATACTTCATCCCTCAGTGCTTCATGTTTATGGCAGTGCTGCAATTAACAAAGAATTAGGAACTTTTAGGGAATGATGGTCTACTGAACAGTCACATCACATAAAAAAGTTAATATTTCTTTTCCATTCCTCCCATGTTTTATTCATTCATATCTAGTTTATTTAATGACACTCTCAGAATCTCAGAGGCATACAAAAGTGTGATCAAGGATTAATAGGGTTAGACTGTTTGGATACTGTAGCTTACTTGCACCCTCTTTGTTTTTCAACTTTCACAAGTGCAACACTCTTCATGATAATGTTTATTGCTGCCATATCATATGTTAATGAAGGCTCTACTAAGTATTCCATCCATAATTCTTACCATAAGAATTGTGTAAACACACTTGACTTCTGTAGAATCTGGAGCCATAGGTAGGTCTCCCATGTAGCGCATTACCGCAGCAAAACATTCCACAGCCAGTTCACTGAGTTCACCAGGTTCCAAGCGAAGCAGCGACTGTTCTATTGGCACTGAAGTGAATTTAACAAGATCAACCTGCAACTCATAAATAAGATTGTGCTTGTAGCTTTCAATTATTTCCTTTGTAGTCAACTACATGGACCATCATTTACAGAAATTTCACATTATTTTTTTATGAGTTTAGGACAAAAGACAATGACAATAACTCCTTAACAATTAGTGCTGTGTTCTCACACAAGTAACAGGATTACAAAACAAACTACAAGTGAGAACATCTCCACTTTATAGCTATGCTGATATGTCATCTCATAGATCAAGTTGATGACAATGTCTGTTCATTGGTCAGAAATTACAGATTTCTTATTTTAACAGTTCTTACTTATTCTAAAATACTGAAATTCAAATTTAAGCAAAGGTGTGCAGTGTAATGCAATCAAATAAACAAGATAAATAAAGTTACTGTAAGATAATGTTTGAATACTATTGCAATAGTAAACAAACGTGTTTAGAAACATTTCACTGAGAAGTCCTGCAGTGACCTGACAAGTTGCAATGATCGTAAGACCGACTCATTTCTACCTAATTTTATGTCTTCCAAATAAACACCATCACTCCATTCATACTGACCTGTTCTTTCCATGTCCAATCAGTATCTTTGCTTCCCCTTTTCCCTTTATTTTTTTTGTTTGCTTTGAGGCTCTCAATGACTTTCAGTGAACCAGAGATTGACCCATCAGCTGTCTTCAGCATCTCAAACCTGAGAGAAAACACATGTTTTAAAAATATTGATAAGTACAATCTACATAGATGAGAAAATAAAAAGAAATACATAGACACCATGAACATCATGCAAGACAGTAAACAAAGTAATTTTATATGAGAGATTTGCTGTATATGACACTTATCATAAATAAATAAATTTAATAAACTAATTATTACAGTGTTCAACTTAAGATCACTTCCATGATGTAGGAACCTAATTCTTCTGCAATATTTAATCATGGCTAATAACATGAATAAACATAAATTGTGCCATTTTATGAAACATTAACTCATTAATAACAATTCCCTCAATGATTTGCCAAACAATATTTAAAATTTTCAGTAGTATGGAAGAAATGATTATGGGTATTGATAATATTAACACTGTCTTGCATGTCTGTAAAATCAGTTACATGTAGATTATACTGCACTGACTGAATGACTGACTGACTGACTGACTGTACTTTACATAAAAGGGTCAAATCTTGAACGCAAGATTAATGCACACTAGTACGCTGCAAGCAATTATAACAAAGCTGTGATTATATAAATAATCATACTACAAATGTTCAACAAATAAACCATCAGTGTTGCCACTTTGAAACTCCTCATGTCTGAAAACACACACGCACACTCCCAATCATGTGTACTTTGCACACACACAAACAAATTTTAAGTAACTACACACACAGTTATATATATGAATATATAAAACAGAAACAAGCGGCTATTGTGACAAATACTTGAGGTGTCTGAAGGAAGATCCACCTGCCATTATGATGGCCCACACGCTTCAAACTTTTTCCACTAATGACAAACTCTCTCTCTACGATCCATTCACGGTAGGATGACGACTTGATCGTAAATTTCTCTCCCATCGTCCTGCATAATGTATGTCTTTCTGTAGACAATGATTCTTGCATGGTTTGCTGAGCACTTCACTCTCATGCAGTATGATAAGATACGAAGGAGTTCTTCCTATGTTACGCTTCCTTGGTTTCCCCCAGCCACAACCTTATTATTACAATTTATGCACCACACTCTCCCCTATTTCAAAATGCATAAATTACATAACATCCACAGTCAGTCTGTACTATGTGTTCAGTAGTTTATACAAATGAACATGAGTTATAATATATTGTATATACATATGATAAAATATTACTAGAATTATTATAAACCTTCACTTATTTGAGTGTCAAACTGCATTTATATAATGTAAGAAACAATAGGTGGGGGAGGGGATAGACAAGAAAATACAACACTCCTCTCCCCCTCACAATCCTCCCCCTCTCATCCACTGGTCTGGCCAAGCTTCTGCCTCGTCCAGCCTGCTCACATATCTCAAGAAACTACTTGTTATTGCACTGCTTACTCAACACCAAGATGACTTAGGCAGTAAGCACCTCTGAAACATCAGTCAACTTCTATGAGACTACAACAAGACAGCCGCTTTCATACTCGATGCAGTGTTAATCTGAAATCTCGCAGTTCTTTCTACTAATTGTTTCCACTCTGTTTGGTATGACCATCAAGGGCAACATGATGATAATTGTTCTGCTATACAACTTTGTGGGACCAGCTTTTCAATTTAGATAAGAACTAAAAGGATAGAAAAGTTAATTAATCATGCATCTAATTAAGGAAAAATTAAAATATTTCTACAAACCCTCCATTTACAAGAACAGTACTGTGCATTTAAGTATAACAACTTTGTACCTGCAAGGCCTCACTGTTCCCATGGGGTTCTTGAACTAACATTCAAATTGAATATGCTGTAACCCTTGGACATGTTTCAAGTCTGCAGTGTCATTAGATACTGGCACTCACTTTTCAGGGCTCTGTCTGAAATGCAGCATGGCAAACTGGAGAAGAGAATGTTTCCCGTCGTGATGGCCAGAAGGTTCTGGTGGTTGGGGCGATGAAGTGATGACACTGCGTTGCTGGTGCTGGTGTTGAGTGGATGTTGTGCTGGCGTGGGACTGCAGTACTGGTGACTGCTGGTGTGATGGTGCCTGTTGATGGCGTCCTGCGCCGTGGCTGTGCCCAGTCCAGCCGTCAAGAGCTATTTTTGAGGGAACCGACCCATCTGGGATACGAGGAGCTGCCTTTTGCTGTAGCTGCAAATGTTAAAAGAAAAAAAATTAATATTCACCACCTGAGCATCTACTTAAATCACTCATGGGTAAAGAGAAATCAAAGTAAGGTTGTCCTCACTACCTAACTAAGCACCATTCCATGCAGATATATATGGGAGTGGAGGTATAGAACCAAACATTTTTAACTTCAGCACTAGATGTAAGTGAGTGGTTAGCTTCATTCTCTGGCTGCTTTACTCCCAAGGTAAGAATCCAGTGCCCACTGGACAGAGGCTGGGTGGGCTGCACAGGTAGCCTGGTCATGAAGATAAAAATCCCAAGAAGATAGCTGTCTCCATGGGATTTTGAATTATAGAAGTTCTCAGACGTACTTACAGTGTCCATTAAAAAGGCAATGACTCGGTGAGTTCCTCCTGTATTATGGTAAGAAACTTTTTAATTATATGCTATCATATTCAAATACTGTTTCATATATAACAACCGAATATTTTAGGGTGACCCTTAAGCCTCCCAGTCTGTTTAAAAAGATTTGCTTCTAACTGGTTGCTCAAATAATATTGATTACAATTTTCAAGTAATGACTTTTCATTCCTAAGTAATGAGAGGTAGTAAAAGTGGAGACCAATACTAGTCCATTCATAGTATAAACACACTTAATTGCAAGTTTTTGGGTCCATAAAAAAATACCACACATAGAAAATTTCATATATTAAGTGAGATTTTTAATAAGTTTCAGTACAGAAGCACCGACAGAGGTGAAACTTGAACTTCTTGAAAGGAAGTTGTTAAATTTTCGAGAAAGAATTTCCTTCCCTGCTTTCACCATGGCACAAATTCCTATTTATTTGGGTAAATGCTCACAGAATGTGTATTTATGGGGAATCCCCATTACCATGAAGAAATTCAACAGCAAGAGTTACTGCTGAAGGCATTATTGGTCCTTACTTTCTCCAGGATGGATGAATTACAGGATAAAAATACTTGATTACTCTGTAACACTGGCTTGTTCCTGAACTAAGCAGACAGACTGATCAATTTGTATTTGTGACATTTATATAATAGTATGACTTGTATAACATGTATTGTATTATTATGACTTATTCTACATCATATTGTCATCTGACTAACTTATGGATCCATGGAATATAATGTATGTATGTATGTATGTAATAATGCTGTTTTTCAACATTACTTAGTTGACCTAACAAATGACTTCAATTCTAACTAATTGGAGCTTATGAGTGCTTCCTGTACATCTTCTTCTCTATTTAAATAAAACAAAGTAGAAGTATCTGCAAAAACACTTGATAATGCAAAATACACATAAATTCTTCTTAAACCAGCTAAAATATTATTCTTTTTCAACCCATCTGTTTGATATGAAAGTACCCAATAATAAATACTCCTTTACAGACACTTTTCTTCAATGGATGAGGATATTTCTTTTAAAAAAATGCATCTATATCTTCACTTAGTTCATCATAGAAACAACTTTACCTTCACCACATCCTTAATTTACCTCCTACCACCCTTGAAGATATTATAATTATGATAACTAGGACATATAAATCATACAGAAATGTGTACATCTTTGCCATGAAAACAATACAGTGAAGAGACAATGGCAGGAAGAAAAACAACATAAAAAGTGAGTGGTAACAAAAGACATATATGAAATCTGATAATTTACAAGGCCACGAGATTAGTGGAAAATGTGAGGATAGAAATGTGCATACCATGTGAAGCCAATAATTTTCCAGCTATAAGAATAGTATGTAAGTTCTTCATTTGCAATATCCCCCATTCCCATCCTATTTCAACCATCTTAGGTCAAAATACTCTGTTTCCAATACAGTACAAAACCGCACATCGCAAAACCAGTAAAATTACTTTTTTATATACCAGTCTTTACTGTTCTACAAAGCAAGCAGAATGATAATCATGGCTTTGAAAGAAATAATAAAATTCATTCTTTATAGACATGAATTTTTCAGGGCTGCAGATAATTCAGCCCCGAAGATAGAAGCAGTATGTTACTCTGGAATGTTGGGATCTACCTACAAGAACACATGGCGTTACAACCCAGAAGATGAAAATGGACACAAACGTACATGTTTTTTTGTACTAAAGCAGATACAAGTGAAGTGCGACAACTCAGTTCTGCACAGCAAGAGATAGTATTACATACGACTTTTGTAATCTCTGACCTGTAGCTGTATAACTCTGCTCTCATGTCCTTAATAGAAGAAAGAACATTCTCATTCAGCTGATTATCAAATCAAAAAGAAAAAGTTCCTCAAGCAAATTAAACATGGGATTTATTGCACTTGTAATCCGTTTTACTTTCAATGGAAATCACATTTAATTAAAAACCACTGCATTTCTTTCTCTCTACAAAGATATGTTGTTAGCTGATTAAAACATTCCAGAAAGAATTTACACTACACAGAGGGGGAAAGTACATGCTATGAATGAATGAAGGTAAACTGGTTTATGTAATGGTTGTTCTTCAATGTTGTAAGACATGTTCATAAAAGACTCAATAGAATATACATCACCTACAGAAACACTGCCAAGGCAGTACCGACTAACAAACACCATAAAAACTTGCAATATGAGAGTAAATGAAACACAGTACAAATACAGTTCCTGGAGCCCATTTTGAAATCTGCAAGTCGCTAATGCATGCTTCATTTGAAACATCTGATAAATACACACAGCCAATTTTTAATAAAAACATCATTTTATAAAAATATTAAATTTCTTTTCTTTTAATTAGCCTGAATACAGAAGTGGAAAGGGCATATAATTAGTGGGATTTCATAGTGTTACAACACCACTACTTTCTAATTCATGACTTCATTATCCATATGTAAGAAAGCCAAACTGCATTATTCTGAGGTTGTTTATCTCACAAAATTATTAGAAAAGGTAAGACACAGATATTTATAAGTGTTGCATTTTATAACAGGGTAATAACAGTACAATAAGAAGAATAAATTTGTATGGTTCTCAAGTGCAAGCTTTAGAACTTATTCTAAAGGAATACACGGCACTATTCATGTAGCAGGTGACAAGCAAGCAGTATGTAGCCATATGGTGTATGGGACCTTGAATGAGGGCAGGACAGTCTTGACAATATGAAACCTGTCTGGCACTGACATGGTAGACATTAACAGTTTCAAACATAATACTTGTGTACAGTCTGTCAATCCATAACTGTACTCTTGCTTCACTTACATTGTATTTAAATGATAACTGTTCCATAATGTCAATGAACAAAACAGATACTTTATCCTGCACTGTACATTACGGTGAATGGTTCACAACTATCGTAACTCCTGTTATGACAATATTACTAGTATACTGTCCACTGTCTGAGGTCAGTTTGGTATACATTGTGGCAGCAACCTTGATCAAACTAAGACATTTTAGAAAATGCTAATCACCTGATTAATTTGTTACTTAACTGACAGAGTAACTTAATGAATAATAATAAAAAAAATGTTTAGTGACTGAACTGGTACCCGTTTCCAATCAAAAGTACGGAAATAGAATTGGTTAAATAAATATTTTAATTTTTAAAAAGTATATATTATAAGCTTCCCTAAAATACTGAGAATCATAGTTATTTTCAGATTATGAAGAACAACAAATGCAATATTCCCTTAGGATTTACGCAGATAATTTTTTAAGCTGTCAGACAGTTTCATTACCCTTCACAGTTTATTATGAAAGTCACCAGATCCACAAATGATAAGAAAATCTAACTCCCAGTTTAATGACTCTGATCATGAAAGAGAACTAAGTGCTGACAAATACCAACAGCCTATTTGAATACGAACATCGCTTCTACAAAGGAATTAAATAAAGGTTGGTAGGCACGACAAACAAGACATGTAATAGAAAGAAAAATGCTGAAGTTACTTGATCCCCTGTCTGGCCAATGAATCTCAGGATAGCAAGGAAACTATGCAAAGACAGAACCAGTTCTAGCTTCAGCAAAACATGTTGAAAAACTGACAAAAAAGAAGCAGGCAACACTTGTTACCTACATTACACTGACCAACTTTAAGTTAAAAAAATGAGGACATCTTCCTGACTCTTGTTTATAAATACACAGAACGTAAGTTACAGTATAACTGCTTTGTGTACATGATATGTTTATGCTTTTATTCTTAAATAACTTTATTGAAATTACTGAGGATGCATATTTTAGAAAGCTATCCTTCTTCCAGCCTCTTTAATACAAGGTTATTCATAATTCCCTGATACATTACAAAAAATCGCTAGACTTGAATGGTGCAATGGATGGTTACATGGGACATAGGTCTGCCACGTCACAAGGGGCGGACACATAGAGCATTTATGAGGTATGTAAAATAAACTTGGAGAGTTTCTCTTTCTATCGGCATGTCCTATGTTAACATCCATCACACCATTCAAGTCTAGCGATTTCTTGTAATGTGTCAGGGAATTATGAATAATCCTGTATTATTTTATGTGATCCACCTTTTAACAAAGTTCTTGTAGAGAATGTCTCCTGATACTTAAAGCGCTATATTATTGTAACTGAGTAAGTTGAAGTTACTTTATAGCGCAAAGTCTGTTGTAGCATCTTTAATATAATATAAATAATTCTGTGTAATCAAGGAATATTTTTGTTGTATCTAATGACATCAATAAATCAGATTTTAGTGCCAAAAGATAGGACGAAGAATGTATAACAAATTGGAAAGAATCTGAAATGAAAAAGTTATGAACAAATGTAAGATACTATTCTGAGATGTGCTTGGAGGGACTGAGGACAACATCAAAATCTCAGCCAAGATGGTCAGTCTCTGGTCTGAGATGCTGTTAATGAATTACAATTTTCTTGAATTTAACACACTTAAGTCTAATATAGTAACATAACTGCATTCTACCTTTTCACTACTGCTATTCTCATCTGCATCCTGTGTTTGTGTAGTAGCAGCCTTGGTCTCATAATGACGCACCTTCTCCTCTAGACAGCGCAATGT